CCCGGCTGGCCTTGCAGGCCAAACTTCTGGCGAATCTCTAAGCTCTAAGAATCCATGAGGGAGGGCCTGGGCACGACTGAGAGGCGCAGAACGAACGGACCAAGTTTTTTCAATTCTGTGCACGGAATTCTAAGGAGATAATAGCCCCAGTACAGGGAGCCCCACCGAAGGCCCCCCTGCCACCCCCCGCGTGCGTCACGCGCGCCCAATCTGGCGCACCCCTCGCGCGTTTCGCGCCCCCAGGGATCACCGAAGGCACCGCCGCCAGCAAACGTCACGCACGCCCAGTCAATTCGGCACGCCCCTCGCGCGTTCTGAGGCGGAGCTCCACCGGGCCGACGGCCCCAGCGCCGCCGCCCGCGCGACGGAGACGGACAACGAACTCCGACCAATGCTTTTTCGGCTCAGAGCGAGCCCGCCCGCCCGTCGGCCGCGACGGCCAGAAGCCAAGGCACCGATCTTGGGGCGCCGACGAAGGGCTCTCGCGAAGGAGAGGCGAGGACAAATCCTCGAGGCCCCCGCGCTGGAGAGGCGAGGACACATCCTCGGACGCCTCGAGGCCCTCGCGCTGGAGAGGAGAGGGCGAATCCTCGAGGGCCCCGCGCTGGAAAGGTGAGGGTGGATCCTCGAGGGCCCCGCGCTGGAGAGGTGAGAACGAATCCTCGGGGGCCCCGCGCTGGAGAGGTGAGGGCGAATCCTCGAGACACTCGTGTCGAGGAGAAACGGCGGCGGCAGCCAGAGCGCCGCCTCGAGAAGCTCTGGCCATCCTGCATCTCGTGGCCGCGGGGCCTCTGGGCGGCCGGGTGGCATGCGTGGTTTCGGCCCACGTCGAGTTCGGCCACCGTGGCGAAGCGCGATGCGATGGCGCGACGCTTGGGAGGCGAGGGCGCCCACGACCAAGCGGCGGCAGGGGGCAACGTCGACTGCGTGACGCAGGAGTGGCCGGGAAACCAAGCGTGTCTAGAACTCTGGGCGTTCACGCACTGGAGTGCACATCAGCGCGTGTCTTCGAGGGCCGCGGGACGTGCCTGGCGGAAGCTCAGCCCTGAGCACAGGGGCAAGTTGACCTCGGAGCTGGATGGCAGCGCGAAGCGAGAGGCGATGCGACAACGCTGGGCAGGGTTTGCAAAGGCTCTCATTTCCAGCAAGCTTGTCATCCACGACGAGGAGGAGCTCCAGCGACTCGCTGATGAGAGTGGGGCGGGGTCGCAGCAGCCGCCATCTTCTTCCTCCAGAGGAGCCGCAGCCGCCCCTCCTCAGGATGGTGGCGCGCGTGACAGGAGTAGCATGGGCGCTGCTAAACGAGCGGCGACTGCGCGCGACAGGAGCGCTCTTGCCCCTGGGCGGGGCTAGCGTCGAGTCGGCCTTCGAGAAGGGGCGCCGTCGTCGCGCGCTGGGCGACGACGCGACCCGCAGGGGGACCTGGCCTAGGGCTCAAGAGCTCGGAGCGCCGCGCGCGCTGGAGCTCAGAGAAATATACTAAGCGGACTCACATTGGAAGCGCGGCGCGCGCAGAACTGCCGCGTCGACTTGCGAAGAAAACGAACAAGTGAGACGGGGGATGAGGGGCGGCTGGGAATCAGGGGCAGCCGTGAAAAGGAGGAGGCGACGATTATGTTCAGTCGCCTCACTTCGGTTCCATGTGACCTAATGGGGTGTACATGGGCGTAGTATCCAAAATGCCGAAGGCTCGTGGGCTGGGTGCCGAATAGCACGGTTAGACCTTGGAGGCGCCCGCCGGCCGGCGCGGGGCTCGGGGCCGCCGCGCATAGGCGCCCCCCGGGGCTCCTGCCAGGCGGGGGCCAAAGATCCGCCCTCAGCTGCGCGCGGTCTGCCCGCTCCCGAGCGCGAGGCGGCCGCCGCGCCCGGCGCGCCCCAGGCCCCGCGGCGGCCGTCTCACGCGCCCCCCCGCAGGGGGGCCCCCGTCCTGGAAGGTCGCGCAGGGCCCCGCGCTGCGGATGCAAACCCTCGCGCAGCGCCGCATGAGCCTCGCGGCCAGCGAACGCCGCGGCTCGCCGTCGCCGCGCGGCGGCCTGATGCCCCCGTCCGGCTGGCGGCCGTTCATTCTGCGCGACGGCGGCGCCCCCCCCGACGGCCGCCTGGGTCGTCGCCGCGGCCGTCGCAAGAGCGCCATGCCGACTCGCAGATCGGACATTGCCGCCGCGCCTCGCCGGGCTTTCCCTCGCCGCCCCCCGGCGCTCGACCGCGCGCCCCCGCAGTTTGGCGAGATCGCCCCGAGCCCGCGAGGCCAGAGACGTCGAGGGGCGGGGGCATGCGAGCCATCGCCCTGTCGCGCCCCAGCTCTTTCAGCACGGGGCGCTTCTCGAACGGGCGGACGGCGCAGAAATTGCCCGGTGGGCCTGCCCTGCGAGGGGCGGCTGCCCTCGCGGTAGGCGCGGACCCACAGGTCCCCGAGCGCGTCCTCCGTGATCTTCTCCCCCGAGAACGCGAGCGCGCGCTGGGCGAGATTCTTGCGAGCCGCCTCGCTGCCAGAACCGACGACGCCCATTGCTGTGCCGAGCCCCCTCCTGCAACGGCCCATCCAGCTTGATCCCCCGCCCCATGGCGGCGTTGATGACCAACGCCTGCTCGGCTGTCCTCAGGGCCGTCGAGGAGCGCTCCTGATCCGGGGCCCCGTGGCCGAAGTAGATCATCTCCGCCCGGTTATCCGGGGCGTGCGCCGCGGACTTCTCGATCTGCATCGCCTCATCGTCGCTGGCCATCTCCGTGATGTCCTTCCCAGATATGAAGCGCGACGGGAAGATGTCGCGCGGTGCTCCCACGCGCCCCTGCCATTGCCCGGTCCAGACCACCTGCGCCCGCATATTTTTTTCGTTTCGGCACCGCTCAGCGCGCCCACTCCTTCGGCTTGAGAGGAGCCGTCTAGCTGCGCGGGCGCGCGCGCGCGATGTTGCCATCTCCGCCGAGGGCGATGGCGACGTCCGCCGCAGCTTCCAGCCGCTCGTTCTTCAGAAAAGCGTCGTAGATATCCTTCAGCCGGGCGCTCGGTACCGAAGGGCCATCCTGATTCCTTCTGATCTCCGCGCGTCTATGGAGTACTCGATGACCTGGCCTGCTGTGGCGGCGACGTCTTCTTGTGCTCCCCCCCTCAACTTGCACCATTCGGATTTCAGACTGTGCGTCCCCGGCCTGAGCCCGTAGTCCTCGTTGCCGTACTGACTGCCCTCGTGGCGCACCATGTAGCGGCACTTGCGTCAGGGCGTCACGGATCCGGGATTTTGTTAACGAGCGTCCTCCAGCACTCGCCGCCCATGGCCTCGGCACTGCACTCGTGCGCGACGCCACACCTGATGCCCTGGAACCATGAAGCCTCACCACCCTGGCAAGCTACGACGAAAAGCGATGCGAAGCCGCGCTCCTCCTCACAGAATTGGCACGCACCCGGGCTGGCTACAACCACGTGGTCACCCGCAGACTTGCCCGCGCCGTCGGCCTCCTTGACCTTGACAAACGGCGTGAAACCTCATCTCGGGCCCGATATCCGAGGTCACGCGTCCTTCCTGAAGCTTTGTTTGCCAGCGTCTTCGCCGAATTGCGAGCTCAGCGAAAAGAGAATTCTTTAAGCCAGGCGGCCGCCACAGAAGGTTCCACCGGGCTCCCGTCCAGGAGGGTCTTGCGGAACGCTGCTCCGCACTCCCGACTCTGCTCCACGGCCCTTTGCCTGGCGCCATGGCTCCCGCCCCGGAAGGTCTACAGAGTGCTGCCCAGCACCCTCAGCCCTCCTCCGCAATCCGCCGCCTCGGCTCCCTCCGCCTTCCTCCTGCGCGACGGCACGGCAGGCGCCAGGGAAGCTGAAATTATCCCTCCGCCTCGGCGCGGCGTCGAGGGCGCAGGCCCCAAAGCCAGTTGCACCGTTTGAGCGGTACTCAGAAACGGCCGAGCACCCTAGCCTAAATGGCAACAGGCGTCGAACAGCAAAGAATAATCACATTCGTGTTGACACACGGGGGCGAATACACGTGCGACTTGCTCACTGCGAACTCCCCGAACCGCGGTTTAGCCGAGAGGAGCTTCCCAAGGTTTTGCCCGACGCTGATTCACCGGTGGACAACAAGTAATTAAACGTTTGTGGGTAAAATGTGGAACACCGCGGGTCCCAGGCACACTCAATTCTTGTAGGGCCCCCGCAGGGCCTGGAGTCTCTCTGGATCAAGAGGAAAGGTCGAGACAGTTACGCAACTGGGCATACATACCACTCGGCGGCCCAGTGTGCTCAGACGCCGATGGATCTCAGAAGGGAAACATGGGATAGCGTGAGCTGGCGCAGTGATGACGCCTGGGCCAGCAGTAGCAGCCAGCGCTGGCGCCCCCCAGGGCCACTGGAACAGAGCCAGTACTGGTCGTGCAATGCAGGAGCAGTCTTGCGCTTCTCGGCGGGGGCATTGGAGGACTCCAGGGGGCTTCGGAAGGCCCCAGAGGAACTTGGCGGACTGCGGGCTCTCGGCACACGAGGGGACCTCTGCTGATCCCAGCAGGCTGCTGGCCCAGTGGCCCCCCACCACCCGCGGCAGGCAGTGGTGGCTGGCGGGGTCCAGATGCGGCAGCAGAAGGGGCCAGGGCGGCAACGGGCGTGCCCACACGGCTCCAATTCACTGGATGCCCACACGGCTCCAAGTCACTGGATGCTGGGCGATAACCGCCCCTGTGGCACCGGCGACGGGATCGAGGGTACGGAATGCGAGGGGCGGCGAAGGGCGGGGGCGAGGGGCGGCAGGGGCCGAGGCCGCTGGCGGATCCGCTTCTCCGATGGCCCTGTTGCACGCAGTTCTGTTCAGGAGCACAGTGTGTGTGTGTGTGCGCGTGTGTGCGTGTGTCTGTGCGTATGCGTGTTCAGGCAAGCGGGCCCCATGCGCAACGAGGCACGATTGAATAACACCTGCGCCCGAGCTGCACCGAGACTGTCCAGCCGATGGAATTCCGTCTCTGGTCGTTCAGTGAAGTCGGCAGCGGAGCTGGGCGGCGCAGTGAAGTACAGTCGCCTCCATCTCGATCTTGAGCTGCCAGCAGACATGCATTACCCGCCGCAACTCGGACTCGCCGCCGTTCTTGAAGTCGTTGTGGCAGCACGTCAACTGCTCCTCGGAGAAGGCTGCGAGCGAAAGAGACACGATGGCGAGATGATAGAAAGGCTGCAGTTTGCAGGCGCCACGAGCCTCAAGGTTGCAGCATGAGATGCAATTTTCTGGGGCGTCAAAAACCCCTAGAGGCTGACCAAGTAAACAACGGCGAAGGACGGACCGACGAATCGAACACGCAACGGCATCCTGCAACAAAAGGCCTCGTCCTTGTGATGGGGAGAGACTGCAGACCCGTGCCTTGGAACAAGACAACATAACACCGACCTATTGCTGAAGGATTCAAGCTGGCACCACCCACCGAGCCGTCAGAGGTCGGGCACTCTGTGACAGAACGAGGGTACCCAAGGAGGAATCCAGAAATGGCTGAACCACATTAACTGGTGCCCGCCCTCTACATGCCTCTGGTCCCTAACGTTTTTTTTCCCCTCCAATACCTCCCCATCCCTCCTACCCATTATCGATCCATGTTTCCCTTCCTCCTCCCACCTTGCTCATCCTCCTCCTCCTCCCTCCCTCCCTCCCTCCCTCCCTCCCGTCGTCATCATCCCGGCGTTGTCTTTCTTTCTCGTTTCTCATCTATCTTCTACCTCTGCCCCGTACTCATCTCCCCTCCGTTTTTCCTATTCTTTTCTTCCATAATCCATTCCACCTCCTGCCGCCTTACTCCGTCTCTCCGCCTTTCCAAATTTTTTCCCTTCTCCCGCTCTCCCGGGCTCTCCCGTCCACTTCCGCCTCTTTCCCTGGCCGCTCCCCAGACCTCACGCGACCCCCATGTTTTTGAGTTTGGACCCCTTCTTCCCCAGGACCCGGTCTGGAGCCTGGGCCGTTCTTTATCTCCAGCTCGATCCTCCCGAGACTCCTGGAGTTCCAGGGCCCCGCCCCCGGGGCTCTGATCCTGCCCAGCTGTTCAAGCCGGATCGTGCTCTGGACGGCCCCGCGAGGCCGAAGCGGGCCTCCAGGGGCGAAGAACCCGGGCATCTGCCGATGTCACTGTTTCAAGCCGCGGGCCCAAAGGTCACGACCTCTTCCCCCGAGGGTCGTCTTAAATTCCGGATCCACCCTTGGTGACCACGGGAGCCGGAAACGTGTCCGCGACTGCCGAAGCCTTTGAACAAAACGCGGGGATTGAAAGAAGCATATCATAGTCGGGGATCCACGAGCCAGGGTTGGGGATACCCAGAGGTACCGATACCGCCACTCCCTGGACCTCTCCTGAGGTGCGCTCTGCATAGAATTTCGAGACGATCCAGCGGTGGCGACGAGGGCCTCTCAGGTCGAAAAATAGGAAAACGAGGGCAGGGTAGTGGTATGGGTACCTTTTCCTCCTCTGATGGGTCCTCGATGTTCCTCGATTCTGGAATCCTCGGGCCCTCGAGCGCTTCCCTACCGATGCCTGAAAACAAACAAAAAACTCTGATTAAACAGAGACGTCGGAGCGCCCGAAGAGAACTGCAGCTGCGGGCCGAGCCCTTCCCCATCATTCGTTCCTCCAGCTGGATTTTTCAAAATCATGGCGTGCTCAACCAATATGCCGACACGTCTCGACTAGGAATACGAACGTGCCAGCGCCCTCATGTAAATTGGCCATGCCAATTCTCGAAAATGCAATTTGCTCATGCCGGAATCGGTAGTCTGAACATGGGAACGCCGCCCACGGTTCTATTGGGCAATTTGAGCAGCAGGGTTCTGGCTTCAGGGAATCCGATCCTAGGAGGCCTCCTAGATGGGATCGGAGCAACTGGGGTCGGAAGATCAACCCGCATCGCCGATGCGGCGCGATCCTCCGACCCCATCTGTGCGGAGCCCAGTAGGGATGACTGGAGATCCCCCCCCAACCCTGCCCACGCGTGCGGGGCGTGGGTCCGCCACGATGGACTCGAGAAGCCGCAGGTCCGTGACCTCGCCGCCGCGCGCGGTGCACTCGCTGCGCGGCCAGAAGGCGAGGTCAGTCAGGAACGAGAAAGGTTTCTCTGACCACGGTGGCCCAGCACAGCCCGAGCAGGGCCACACCAGGGGCCCGAAAATGGCAACTCGAACTGACATGTCGAGACTTCCGTCCCACCAGGGGACACGAGGACCACCAGCAGGCACCTGAGAACCCCCCAAAAAAGCCCAGAGGCCCCAGAAGGCCCCAACGAGGCACCAACACGATCCACAAGAACCTCCCGAAAGCATTACCCGCGGACTTGTTTTTCCTGGGGGTGCCGGCGGGACGGCGCAAGCATCTTCAATAAGGAAGGAAAGAGCTTCGTTTGCCACGGCGAACGGATCCGCCACGAACTAGTGCCACGACCTACGGTCGGGAATCTTTGCTGAGCGTGTCGCGGCGGCGGCCCTGGCGACACGACATGCCCTTCAAGCGGATCGCGTGTCGCGACGCTCTGCGGGGCGCGGGATTTAAGAAAAATCGGGACGCTGACGATCGGGGACTGGGACGCGGTCAGCGTGTCGCGCCGGGGCGTGGTGGGCCAGAGCTGGCGGCGCGACGCGCGAAGCGAAAATTCCGGACCGTAGGCGGCACGACTGAAATCCGAGGAGCGGCCCGCGAACGCAGGGCTCCTTGGGCCCAAAAGCGGCGCAAGGAAAACGCAGGCGACATTGCGCAGCTCAGACAAACAGGAGGAAGGACTGCACGCAGGGAGCGGCGCGCCTGCTGACGTGCGAAAAACTATGCAAGATTCAATCATGTCTGCCGGCGCGATACCATCTTGCACAGCTTCATGCCAGGATCCGATGTGAGTCACGTGGCTAAAGAAAAAACAACCTCGCATCACATGGCAACAGTGCGACCCAAGCAGCGCCCATTCCCAGGCCCAGGCTCTCCGCACACACCGGTCTGAGGGTAAACGTGCATCGTCTCCTGGAAATCTCAACATCTCTTCGCTGGTTATCTGGGCCACGGCCGAATATCATGCTCTGTCAGTATATGGTCGAATCCGTCGTGACATACACCGTGAAGTCTCATGCCAAGGTTGAGACCAGTCCACGCCGGCTGGCGGGCCAACTACGCGCCGCACCAGTCGACGGAATTCGACGTCCACTTGGAACATAGAGTCGCTGTACGACTTCCAAACACCAGCTCCGAAACAAGCCACGCACGTTACCACGCGGCCGAAAAACTCAAACCGAACAATAAGAGACACATTCCGGTCGCACAGTACGGCTCTGTTGGCAAAGAAAGCTGTGTTCGCCCACGTCACATGGTAGTCCACGTCCGGATGGCGCGCACCACACCCACGGCAGTTGTTGGCTGCATTCTGGGGCAGGATTTTGACAGCCACGCCAGACCTTGGGGAAATGTGTTGAGGAGGTTGTGCCGGCATCGTCAAGACCACGGTTTGGCCGCATTCAGACTCAACCCAACTTCTGCCACTTGATCAACCAGGGCGTCCAGCAGCACTTTGGCTTTGTCTGCTGTGTTGGCAATTACTAAAGTAACGTCGGCAAAACGCAGATCTATAGGGGGCCCCATGCCGTCGCCAAAATCGAAATCAGAATTTGCTACGCGAGCTCGCCACGATCGCATGGCCGATTCTAGAACAAAAAACTGGACTGAGCACGCACCCTTGACGAACGCTGGCGTTGATGTGAACTGCCTGGCTCTTGCCCCAATCGCCTATGACTTGTCCCTCTCCCTCGGGGTACAAGTGGTGCAATGTTCAGGTCCAATGGTCTCTAAAGGCGAGGTGATGCAACACTTTCCATGCAGCTGGACAAGATACTCGGTCGAAAGCTTTTGGGAAGTCCACGCTCACTCTCCACAACGGGCAAGTCGCCACCAATGTTTTCTCAATGACAACTGTTGCCGTGAACAAATGCTCACTCCAATCGGCGATTAGCTCGACATCCGTGCTGCTTACCGGGTAGTTCCGTCTATAGAATTTGCTCGATGCGCCCCAACGACATGTAGGCAAACAGCCTGTAAAGAAGACGGATAATGGCTATAGGGCGAAAGTGTCGCCGACTGCCTTGGCGCGGATCTATTTGGCCATCATGATCACATCTCTAGCGCGCCGCGGCTCCAAAACGTCCCCGCCCACGAGCACGGCGTTGTATAACGTCAGCAATAGTTCCCGCAGTCCTGTGCGAAAGTGTTTCAGCATTTCCGCCATCAAACAGCATTCGTCAGGCACCCGGATGCCCTCGTCGATCTCCTGTTTGGTGAACGGCACATCAGAAAGAGCAGGCAGTTGCTAAATACTTTCGGCTGCCTTAGCAAATCTGTCGCGTAACGTTGCTGCGAATTCGTCCGGCGGCGGCTGCTGTGATACCACCTTGCCAGAATTGTTCCTGGACAAATATTTCATCACCCACAAACGCGACGTGGTAGATAGATATCGCTGCCAGCGCCCCGTCTTCCAAGATCTCGTTTCCCTGTTGTTCATTTGGTGAATGTGTAACGACAGCCGCCTTCTCACGGATCAGTTCTCCTCTTTCCGTCTCCTGGACCGTACAACCTGTAGAGCGTTTGACAAAGTGGAATTGTGCTGGACGGTCCGTTTCCTGTTCCTGCACTGGCGGGCTCCTCGTTGCAATGATTGCTTGGTCTCATCGAACGTAGCATCCTCAGGAACAAGCCGGGTGAGGAAGCCATGGGAAGACGGTGGCGCCCTGTACAGATGCAAACGCGGCTGCCAATTCTTGAAGTGGTTCGGCCGCCGGGGCCGACATAGCTTCGGGGTCGAATACCTGCACCGGCAATTGACGCACCTATGGTCGAGGCCAACAGCCAGGGCATGATCGCACCAACTTTGATCAAACTCGAAAGCCCCATCCACGCATGTGGAGGCGATCTGGACGCGTGACCCGTCGAAAGCAAGTTGACAAGTCCACGAGGCAGGAAATGTTGCACATCAGGCTGGCGCCTGAAGACCTGCAACCTGTGCTCAAATAGCCATCGAGTCAGTTTCTCCCCACGAGCGGTGCTGCAGACACCACACCCGCATCTTCTCAGCCAGTCTAAGTCATCCCCCTCCTGTGGTGCACCTAAAAAGGCGTCGAAATCTCCACGAACGATTTGAATCATGCCCTGGCGCCTAAAATCAGCAAATCGGCGCCTCCGGCGTCACCTAAGATGTCGGAAGATATGGGCAAATTGCATGAAAGTGCGTTGCAGCATATCAGAAGTCGAATGCACAGACCCTCCCTGAAAGAGAGTAGAATCGGACCCCGCTCGACTGCTCTAGAAAGTCCCTCGACACGCCTATGCAAACGCCATGGTGCTTTTGACCCCCCACTGAAGCTCAAAAGATCACCACAAAACGTCTCGATGATCTCCTCTCGCTCTTCCTGCCATGTCTGCGTGAAATATCGGAAATAGACAGGGCACCCCTGGCCGCCTCGGTTGGCAAACAATTGCCCGATGTTCTGCCATGTGCTGGATCCGGCTGTCGAACGGAAGCCTTTGACAGAAACTGCACGCGTGCAATCTCGATCACAGCCTCCGTGACCGCGTCGTCCACTCGGAGCCCTCGTCCATCCTCATCCACCCATCTTTTAGGTCGCAGTCGCCATTCGCGAGCACTCAGCCTAGTTAACGAAACTTGTGTTCTGCCGTAAGAAGCAAAATGCCCCAAATTCACACATGAAACATGTTTAGTTGTATTTCAAAACTTTGTCCGGCTGTCTCCGTCGGGGGGGGGACATAGAGGTCGGGTACATCGGGCCAGAAGCTGGGTCAAAAAAGAAACGACCAACGCAGTGAGGGAAAGTAAGCAGACAACCAGGCTCGTTCCCCAACCCCACCTGGAAATACCCCCAACACGAACCGTCGACCCAAGACTTGCCCACATGCGCCCGCTCAGCATACGGAATGTGATCCTGCGCCAGACCCAGGGGCGACCACCGCTCGTCGTCCTCGTGCTCCTTCGCGATCGATGGCCGAACGGCCCAACCTTGCCTCTCCCCACGCCACGACGCAAAGTGACAAACAATCCATGAAACTGGTAGGGTCGACACTCTTTCTGGCGTGTGAACGATAAAACGGTAGGAGCCGAGATCGCTGCAGAAGTGGAGGAGAAAGCTAAGGACGTGATCGTTTGAGAGGCGCGGAGAAAGAGGCTGTCCACAACCACAGAACAGTGGACAGAGAGAGCAAGACTGAACCCCAGTGGCCAAGTCAAAGCTCATCCCCGCTGGTGGGAAGCCGAGAGATCCTGCTCACGTTGCCAAGTAATGGTCGTTTCGTCGATTCATTGCAACCCTGTTAGATCGTACTCTCCGCTTGTTTGTGCAAACGCGTTCTGGCGTCTTCTGGAGGCTGATCAGACGTGGCGTCGACGGATCATCTAAGTCCCTCGCAGTCCTTGCTTTCGTAGCACGACAAATGGGAATGGGCATTGCACTCTCCGCTACAGGGGTTCCGCACGCTTATTTGAAAGATGACCACCCTGCCCAATAATCAGCGCACTGCACTACAGCAGAGCTGCGCCGCAGCGTGGAACGGAGGAGCGCTAGGCCAAATTCCCATTGGTTGTCTTTCCTTTGCACTGAATCTGCGGTTGAAGAACAAATCGGGGCCGATGGAGATGCGGCGCAGTTGACCAGATGGATCACTTAATACAAACATGTTGACGTCGCTGGGGGGCTCACGTGATGCTTTCGCTGGCTTCGGGGACGCACTGCGCTGACCCTGGTCAATGCAAACCCAGGTCAGTCAGGCTTTGCAAGATCCTGCATGGGACGCACAAAGACATACTAATACTATATGTTTTTCTTGGAGGCGCGTTTCTGGCCCGAGCGTTTAAGAGAACAATGTTGGAGTATATCTTTTCCCGAGCGGTGTGGCCAGAAAGCGCCCGCCACGACGCATGTACTATTAGTATGTTGGGGTGGCGCCGAATGCAGGATCCTGGAAGATCCTGCGCGGAAACCTGGGTCAATGCACTCGTGGCTCTGCAGGATCTTGCCAGATCCGGCGCTCTGACTGACCCCCATTTGTGTCGACCCCCATCTCAAAGCCCCCGAAGGCTTCCGCCGACTTTCCGCCAGCTTCTGCCCGCGGACCCTCCCCCAGAGAGAACTTCTCGATCCGTCGAAGGCGAGGCCGTTCCTGGAGCCACCAACGTGGACCAAAAAAACCTCACTGGCAATGCCATGCTCCACGGCACGGACCACCGCGAACGCAACCGGCAACCACCAAAAGCTCCGCCGCAGAGCAGGGTGCGCCCGCGCCGCGAGCGCTCATCCAGGACCTGGAGACGTAGACGCAGAGCGGCTCTCAAACAGGTTGCGATCTGCTCGGGCTTGTCTCAAGACATCTCGACTATGTTTCTAAGACGGCCCGAAGACAGACCGGTAGTTCACGAGGGCTCCAACCAGACGCCCGAGGTGCCTCCATATTGCCCCAATTTGCCTTCAATAATGTCTCCAAGAAGCATCCACGCGCGAGCCTGGAGAGGAGACGCGATCTGACAGATTTGGACTCCGAAGGGGCCGCCTGAGTCAAAGCTCGAAGCTCCGGGGAGCTCGGGAGGGACCCCCACCGCACGGCCTAATTACGCTTCGGGTGCCAGTGCCAAGGCCCCGCGAGGCCACAGAAAGGGAAGAGGAGCTCGGCAGCCTCTGTGGCAGCCAGTGGGGGACAGCCTGTGGAGAAGGGCCTCCTCCTCCTCCTCCTCCTCCTCCTCCTCCTCCTCCTCCCCCCCTCCCCCTCCTCCTCCCAAAGGCCCGCCCCAAACCCGACCGCCAGCCATCAACGGCTAATTGGCAAACTAAAAATTGCCGATGCCGCCACTCCCCGGACTTCTTCTGGGGTTCGTTCTGTCCAGAATTTCGAGGCGAATCCAGCAGTAGCAACGAGCGCCTCCCAGGAGGCCCAAAAAGGCGAAAACGAAGGGAGGGTGGCGGTATCGGTACCTTTTCCTCCTCTGAGCTGTGGCGTGGCCCCAGTCGCACGCCCAGGGAGCGAGCCTCCGGCAGGGAAGAGGCGCCTCCTCTAGCGCTGTCACACCCGTGGCCTGCTGGGCAGCGACCTGGCGCCTCGCAGCTCGCTCCCGGGCCGCCCAGCTCTCCCCCCCAAACAAGCGCCACCTGCGGGCCTCATCACTGGACAACGAGACGGCGGAGGAGGATTACCAGCTTGAAACATATCCCTATCCCTATGTTTGGCCTCGCCTGACCTCGGTGCCGAACTTAAGGACACCCGCAATGTATGAGGACACATCCCTACGATTATTATCGCCTTGGGGGTTCCCGATGTTAGGGATAGGGCACAACTTGAGGCTGGTTAGAGGAAGGAGGCGGTGGAGGAGCTAACCTCCTTGTGCCGGCGGCCGCTTCGCGGATGACGCAGGCGCACGCGGCAGGTCCACCCCTCCGGGCCGGCGCCGAAATCGGGGGCCAAACGTCGACGAGCCGTGAGGGGGATGAAGAGGTGCCAACACCACCACTTCCTGGACCTCTCCAGGGTTGGGAGGCAACTCCTGGGAGGTCTTTGTGAGAACGGTAAAGGGGTATTAAGCCGGTTGAAGAGGCCGTCAAGCCTAACTGGCCTAGACTAAACCCAAAATTGAACAGAGTGAAAACGGATTGCCAGGGACTGAGCTGGACTGGGCGGGATTATGCTGGATGAGAAAGATCTCCGACCATGGATATACCAGCGCAAATGCTCACTATCAGGAGTTGCAACCAAGCCAGGGGCGCGCTCTGACTGGGAAATCGAGCCGAATCTCGCGGTGGCGACGAGGCAAGGGTAGCGGTGTCGGCATCCCTTCCTCCTCCTCCTCCTCCTCCTCCTCCTCCTCCTCTGAAGCCAAGAGCCTCAGCGCCGCCGAAACCAGCGCGGCCCCTGCGACAGCTGCGCCGGCCTCGCCTGCTGCAGCGGCTCCGACGGCCACGCGTCCGGCACCAGCAGCGCCACTGGCGCAAGCCTGTCGGAGCGGTCGAGGCCTCCGAGCAGCACGCCCCCGACGACGCTGTGCCCCGCCGCCGCGAAGTAGGGCGTGCCGTCCACCACCCCCGCGCTGCTCCACTCTGCCTTGCGGGCGCCGACGTCGCCGCGCTTGCCAGGGCCCAGGCTGCTCAGGTGCAGCACTGCCATGGTTCCCGCAGATCCTGCCAGGTTGCCAGGGTCGCCGCCGATGATGTAGATGCGCTGGCCCAGCTGCAGCGGCGCGGCCCGCGAGTGCAGCGCCGGCGACAGGGGGTGCCGGGCGAGCCGCTCCCAGACCCAGCTGGAGAGGCAGAGCACGTGCACGTCAGTGGGCCTGCCGAGCGCCCGGCGCTGCAACCCTGCCTCGTCCACGCCGCCGATCAGGACCAGCTGGTTGCGGTGGCAGCAGCCGTGGTGCAGGGCGCCATGGGGCGGAAACAGCCCCGACTGCGACGGGGAGTGCCACGTGTTGCCCGTGAGGCAGTACGCCTCGCAGGAGAGGGCGCAGCCGCCGACACCAGCGCCGCCCACGACGACCAGGCCGCAGGGCGCCAGCACGGCTGTGTGGCAAGATCGCTTCGGGAGATCGCAGCCTGTCGTGGTCACCTCGACCCAGCGGCACCGCGTTGCGCTCTCGCCCACTCTTTTGCACTCTAACGTCCACACGTCGCCGAACGGACACCCAACGCCCGGCCCACTGAAAGTCTGGCCTCCGACTAGGATCGCACCGTCAAGGCCCTTCGGCGTGAGCGTCGGTCTCACGCGGGGGGCGGGGCTACAGGTTCCCTGCTCCTGCACCTCGAGCCAGGCCCCCCTCAGCAGGTCCAGCACCGCCAGCTCCGCCACGGCGGTTCGTGGGTGCTCCAGCACCGCCGGGTCCCGGCCAAGACTCTGGCGCTGAGCGCCGCCGAAGACGGCCAGGCAGTCGCCCTGGACCACGGCAGCGGCGTGCCCACTGCGGTCGGCACGCTGCGCGTGGCTGCGCATGGCGGCGGGCGCCTCGAAGCAGCGCAGGCGTCCCCCTGCGGCTCGCTGCAGCGCCAGGGCCCAGTCGGGGGGTGCGCCGCCGCCGCTGCAGCGTAGCGCGGCGCAGACGGCCGTGCCGAGGTGTGCCATGGCCGCCGCCTCGGCCCACGCGGCGGGGGTAGCCACGCGGCGCAGGCGCTGCTCCACGCGCTGGAATGCCGAGATGTCTGCCGGCACGGTGATGGCGCCCATGAACGCGCGCTCGAGCGCGGCATCAGGCAGCCTTGCCCAATCCATCGCCGCGCTCCGAGGCCTGGTGGGCTCGAGGCCTCGGCGACCTGGCCGAAGCGGCTACGGATCAGGAAGGGGGTGGAGGACGATGACTGGAGATGTCCTCACGTGTGCAACACTCGTGCGCTCATACGACGCTGAAGTGAACCATCGCGACAGTGTCGCCCAGATTTTTCCAGACAGGCCTGATACGAATTCTTTCTGCTCAAACTTCGAACCCGAATACTTTCAATTCAGGTCGCAAGCGCCCCCCTCAGCCCTACCGTCGTGTCTCTTCTGTCTCCCGCTCTCCCGATCAAGATCAACAACCTATGAACACGGAAGAAGCGTTTGACCGCGACGTCCCCCCAGGAGACACGGATCATCGCTCAAATGCCCCGTCGCATCGCGGCCCTCCCCCGCTCTTCCTCCTCCTCGTCCCCTACCTGCTACTTGCCACTCCACCCCTCACTCGCCTTACGGGGGATAACTATGGGATCGGCCGGCCTTCCCCAGCGAGGCGACATCGTGCCTACTACTGTGCTTACAGATGCTGCTCAGCGTGCGCGTGCGCTCTTCTTGCACAGTCCAGCAGTGGGATCAGAAAGTCCATGACCCCCAAGCCTGCCATCGCTCGGACGTCCACTCCCCACACATTGCTTGGTCTCGTGCTCTTTCTCGCAGGATGAGCCAAGAGGCTCATGGCTGGGCCTCGCCGAGAAACAATGCACACGACGCCAAAGAAAAAAAAGAGAGCTTGCAATGCGGGGCCTTGCTTGGACTCAAGACAGCTGAGCATCGGTTCCGGAATTCCGGCCCACTGGCGCCCGTGACCGCCTGGTGCGCAAGGTGTGACGGTTCGGGGTCGCTCGGCCGGTGGTCGCCCTCGTGGCCGCCTCGTGGCCGCCCCGTGGGCCTCCGCTGGCGTCGCTGGGGGCTTCCGCTGGGTAGCGTGCAGCACGCCGCTTGTCCTACATAGCTTGCACTACACGAGCACATGGCTGGCGCCACATCGCTTGCACCAAACAAATTGCTCCCGTAGCACCACATCTATTCCTTCCCGAGAGAGATACCCGACCCCCCCCCCCTCACCAAGGCTGGGAGTACAGTTCCCCCTCGGCTTCTTCTTGATCAGACTCATTCTACACGATCAATCATCCTAAGTAACGAATATCGACCGCCTCCCCCCCGCGATCTCCTGTCAAACAAATGTGGAGCACACGAGTGGATCTTAAAAGTAATTTGGCTATGACGAATCCCCTGCGAACGGAAAACCAAAAACACCATACAAGGCACATGCGAATAATCATTCGCGCATTTTGGGGATGAAAAGCATACACCTAACGCATAGCTTCCCACAACATATCAAACACCAATTGCTGCTCAATAGCCAAAACGGTTTAAGTATGTGCGCGCGCATTCGCTGACATCTGAAGAACCGACATATATGTTTAGCAGCTGTGTCAAATCAGACCGTGCGGACAGCCTTTGCGCGCACGTCAACACGTTCAACCGCCTTCGCGCGCACACCTGCTCGGTCGGATAGAACAGTGCGGGTCACGCGCGCGCGTCTCCGCGGGCACACGTCGAAATCCGTCCACAGCCAGGATTTCTCCCACACGTTCAGCAACCACGTGTTCGACAGACCAGAAAGACTCACTGGACTTCAAAACACGCATGTCAGGGTGTCTGAAGTTTTACGGACGCGCACAGCCTCACCATCCTCACCAGCACAACAGCTAGAATCATCGTCGGCGTCATCATTGCCATCGTCATCATCATCATCATCATCATCATCATCATCATCATCATCATCATCATCATCATGTGCATCATCATCATCAGCATCATCATCACCATCATCATCATCACCTCATCACTATCGTCGGGAACCTGACCGCCGCAGTCATCGCTGTCATCGGCGGTGTCGTCGCCCTCGTCAATTCTCTGCGCGTCGGCATTGCCTCACCATCATCACCAACACCACCGTCGTCATCATCGCCAGCGTCATCGTTGCCACCGTCATTATCATCGCCATCAGCTGCTATCACCTTCGCAATCGTCGCCGTCGGCATCGTATCGTTCCCATTCCCACTGTCACCGCCATCGGCATCAACGTCATCACCAGTTTCATCTCCATCGTCGTTGGCGTCGCGGTCGTCACCATCGCCACCTCCACTCCGCCACCTGCAGGACGGACTAGACTGCGCGAGTGAGTTCCACACGCCCGTGCGTTCGTTTAGATCGTGGCCGTTCGAGCGGTGCCAGACAATTGCGAATGGGAGGGTGGGATGCTTGCACAAGCGTTGGAGTTGACGACGCAATGTCCACCGCTGAGTTCTCCGTTCACTGGGGCAGTCGGATCCAAGCTCCTCGCGATTGCAATGTACATATGGTACTGCCTGATCGTTTGGCTTTCATACGAATGTATACCACCCCAAGCGAGCCAATATCACCCCGCCCAGGTCGTCCTTCTTGCGCGCGCACCCGTTTCCCGGAAAAGAACAAATACCAATAATCCCTTGCAGAAGCATACTACAGCGTCCACGCGCCCGCACAAGGCAAAACATGCCAACACACATCAGTCACGCGTACCAACATAGAAACCTTCGAAGTCCATTGGTCTCCAATCCCAGATCTTCAATGATTTCTGCCCGCTCGCACCTGCTGCATGCATAGGAAAACCATCTGGTTCCTGGGGGCATCCGCATTGGTCTAGCATGCGCCCAGAGCATGGACCCCTTTATCTAATAATATCATGCGGGCTACACGCGCTCGCTGCCTTTCGCGCGTTTCCAAATCCATCCGAAACCGTTGGTTCCCGACGCTTTTCAGAACAGAACTCTCCAGACCCATATGAGCAACCAAGTGCTTGTCAACAAAATGCGTGCCAAATGTTTTGAAGGCCTGGGAGCGCGCACTTCCTCGTCACCCTCGTCAGCGCAATCGCGTCACCTGTTCTCGTCATCGTCAATCGCCGGCACTGCCGCCATCATCACCACAATCACTTTCACCAACGACGCATGGACATCATCATCATCGTCGTCACCAGCATCGGCGCCGTCATTGGCCTTGCTGTCGTCATCGTCATAATCCCCACCACCATCACTATTATCATCCTGGTTGCCGCCGTCGTCGACATCATCATGATATCGCGCAAGCACCATCGCGGCCGCAACAGTTGTGCAGAACCAGCTGGTAGATCTGCGCGAAACAAATCGCGCGCCAATGCGGCCGCCAGGATACGCCAACAAACTGAATCAGTAACCGCAATCGCGGCCGCATGGGTTTTGTCAAACAATTAGCGGGTCCAAGGGTGGGATGTTTGCGCGAGCAGTGGAGTAGACAACTCACAAGTGATCCAACGAATTGCACAACGTATATTCCACCACACATACTGTCTCAGCTCGGTTGCACCACATACATCGCATCACATAGACCCATAGCTTAGAGTTCAAACATAGAGTTGAAACAACTATACACCATGATGCACAGACCTCACCACGCACATGCTGCACATCGGAAGTGTAATACATCATTGTTCTGTATCCACCTCGGCAGACATGAGAAACTGAGCCCTCAATTGTCAAACATCCCTATCTCTGTTGAAATCCCTCCCGCCCGAGATTTTGCGACCGTGTCAACGACTGTCCGTAGGAGCTGGGCCAACATGTAATCAGAGGGCCGCCCCTCCCCTTTTGAATCCGACACGACCCGGCCCATGAATGTCCATGGCTTCTCCTTCACCCGCTGCTCCAGGTCGGCCAGCCTGTCGATCTTGGCCTGGGCCCGAGCCGAGATTCCCACCTCGTCTTCCTCGCTCCCGATGGTATTGCTCCTCCGGTGCTACTCACCCTCGTCCCCGTACGTCCTCCTCCACCCCCGGGACTCGAACGGGTCGCTCCGAGCCTTGCCCTGACCGCAGGATAATATGCCAGCTCTCTTCTCGTGGAACCCACCCGCGCCAAGACGCCAACCTGCGATGCCATCATCCTGTCCAGATATACTTAGATGCAGAGTTACATATATACATTTATATGTATGTGTATATACATATACATACATACACGCATGTCTACGTATATATATATATATATATATATATATATATATATATATATATGTGTGACCCCTACCCCAGGGACGCTCTGGACGCCGTTTCGGACGTCTCGGCGGCCCCCTGGACGCCCTTGGAAAAGGTTCGGTGGCCCTTCCGGGCCTCCCAGGGCGCCTCGCTGGGCCTTGCGAGCCGACTGAAGGCGATCAGAGGGGTCGTCGGAGAAGCGCAAGAGAGACCCAAGACAGCACAAGAGCGCTCCAAGAGGAATCTCGCTGGTCTGAAAACGGCCCGAGAGGCCCCCAAGACACCCCAAGAGGCCGTTAAGAAAGCCCCGAAGAAGCCACACATCGTCTCCCTCAAGAAATACATTTGTTTTGCATGTCCGCTTTTTGGGTGTTCGCAGCGTCCAAAACGACCCAGTGGGCCCCCGACCTCGCCCCAAGACGGCCCAGGAGGCCCCCTAGAGGGTTTGAAGACGGCTCAAGAGGGCCCCAAGACTGCACCAGAGAGCCCCGAGACAGCCCACAAGAAGCCCAAGATTCCCCCACAAGACTCTCAAGAGAGATCCACGAAAGACATGGGATACCTCCAAGAAGGCCACTGGAGGCCCGCAAGAGGGCCCTAGATGGCTTCAGAAGACCTTTGGAGGGACCCAGCTCCCCAATACGGCCCAAGAAGCCCCCAGGACGGGCCAAGAGTGCCCCAGGACTACCCAAAAGAGCCCCCAAAACGACCAGACGGCGTTCTCCTACGAAATACATCAAGCTGACCCGACGATCTTGGCTCCACGCTTGAGGCTCGAGGTTTCAGTAGTTCCCCGATCGAGAGAGACAGGCAATGGATCTAGATTCGAAATTCGACGATCTAAGATTTCCCGAGTGTCTGGAGCCCTCCAGGCATTCAGGAAGCGACCAAAAATCGATGTGTTCGGAGCTACTGTGACTTCTTCGGCGTGTCATGGGAACGCTCCTTACTTCCTTTAAGGACCTTCGCGCGTGAAAGAACAACATTATTTCCCCATTCCTGCGCACAAGCGTGCAAGCACATCGTCCGAACGCGGTGTCAGCAGGCACCAAGGATATCGGAACAAAAAGGCGGGTCGCCCGTCCAGGCCTCGAGGGCCTCCCTGCTGAAGCAAGCGATGATTTGTTGCTTTGCCAGGGAAGCGTCCAGAACAAGGCGCATGGCGCGAAGCGCCAATGCAGTCTTGTATGTATGTGTGTGTATGTATGTATGTATGTATGTATGTATGTATGTATGTATGTATGTATGTGTGTGTGTGTGTATGTATGTATGTATGTGTGTGTATGTATGTATGTGTGGATGCATGTATGTATGTATGCATGTATGTATGTGTGTATGTATGTATGTGTGTATGTATGTATGTACGCATGTATGTATGTATGCATGTATGGATGTATGCATGTATGTAGGTAGGTATGTGTGTATGTATGTATGTATGTGTGTATGTATGTATGTATGTACGTATGTCTGTATGTATGTATGTATGTGTATGTATGTATGTATGTTTGTGTGTATGTATGTATGTATGTATGTCTGTATGTGTATGTGTGTACGTCTGTATATGTATGTATGTATGTATGTCTGTCTGTCTGTCTGTCTGTCTGTCTGTGTGTATGTATGTATGTATGCATGCATGCATGCATGCATGTATGTATGTATGTATGTATGTATGTATGTGTGCATGTATGCATGCATGCATGTATGTATGTATGTATGTCTGTATGTGTATGTGTGTACGTCTGTATATGTATGTATGTATGTATGTCTGTCTGTCTGTCTGTCTGTCTGTCTGTATGTATGTATGCACGTATACATGCATGTATGTATGTATGCATGCATGTATGTATGCATGCATGTATGTATGTATGTATGTATGTATGTATGTATGCATGTATAGATGTATGCATGCATGCATGCATGCATGCATGCATGTATGTATGTTTGCATATATATATATATAGTACATGCATATGTCTACGTATGTGTGTACGTGCAAGGACCTGAGCCTGCCTCCGGCACACCCCGAAACACTTCACTCGCGGGCGTGCAAGCATGGATTAGCGATCCATGGATTTGGCGCGCGGTCGCCTAATCCATGGATCGGGGGAGATGCCCTCCCCAAAATACGGCCGGTGCTGCCTCGTTCGGCGGCGGAAATCCGCAATTTCCAATGGAAGCGGGACCCATCGCTAATCCACGCCCCCTTGATCCATGTTTGCGATCGCCTGATTCACGGCCTTAGGACGCTCCGGCCGTCCGCGGCTCTCTCTCTTCCCCCTGTCCCTCCTGGCCCTCCTGGCCTCCGAATGCCCGGAGTTCGCTCCGCAGCAGCCGTGCCGCATATAGACACGACCGCAGCTTGGACCCAAAGCGCCGCCCATCAAAGAGTGGGGGGGGCAGGGGGGCGGGGGGTGGGCGCCGCCTCAGATCCGAGCGGCGTGAACAAATAGCGATGGCTCGTTTCTGGCCGCGGGAGGCCGACCCCCTTCCCTGGAACCGTCAGGAAACGACGCGGGAGGAAGAGCCAGGCCCAGGGAGAGGGCTGACAGTTCGGCCCTTGCCTCGGGCCCTGCTCTTCGTCCAGCGTCGTTTTCCGATGTCGCCCCCCCGGGGACTTCGACTCGAAATCCCCGGGTGGGGAGCGTGCGGCAACAGGGCGGTGAAGGAGCCTGCTGACGCCGGAGGCCGGACAGAGGGGAGGGGAGGCGGGCGGCGGGGGAGGAGGGAGGGGGGGGGCTTGCAAGAACGCCCCCTCAGCGTACGCCCCCCTGCGACCGCACTGGAGCCGGAAGCAGAGGGAGGCGGGCGGGTGTGGCACCAGGCTCGGGCGGTCGCGGGCGAAGCGCCTGCTTGCTCGCCCCGCATCCCATGGCGGCCGCGGGCGCGGCCGGGCTCTCTGCCCCGCGCGCCGCGCGCCCCGCGCGCCGCCGCCCGCTTTTGGGGCAGCGGCGGGGCCCCTCCCCCCCCGTGGCGAGGGGCGGGGCGGAGCTGAGGCGGCGGGTGCCGCACCGCTGCCGTGCGAGGCCTCGTGCACGGCAGGGTGCGCCAGTGCTCGGGCGCACGGCGGAGTCGCGCGGCAGGTTACCACACCTCGAGAACGTGTCATCGCAGTAATCGTCATCGTCACCATCATCGTCATCATCACCGTCATCATCACCAGCATCATCATCTTCACCACAATCACCATCATCATTCCCACATCATCAGCAGCATCATCCTCACCATCATCATCATCAGCAGCATCCTCCTCCTCCTCCTCCTCCTCATCATCATCATCATCATCGTCATAATCGTCATCATCATCAGCAGCAACAACATCATAAGCAACAATACCACCACCACCACCACCACCATCATCATCATCATCATCATCATCATCATCATCATCATAATCATCATCATCATCATCATCATCATCATCATCGTCGTCGTCGTCGTCGTCGTCGTCATCGTCACCGTCATCGTCATCAACAACATCATCATCTTTATCATCATCAGCATCAGTATCAGCAGCATCATCATCATCATCGTGATCCCCATTGCTGCATCACCATCACCATCATACCAATCATCTGCTGCGCCGAGGGTGCCCAACATTCCCACTGTGACTAGAGCGGAAACAAGTCGGCGTCGATGGTTGACCTCTCCCTTGTGCCGAAGTGCCCGAGTCCACAATAGAACCACGCTCCTGTCCGCGCCAGTGAAGATCATGCGATGCTGGGAGAGCAAGAGTCTGCCACCTTCCTGCTCGTTAGAGTCCTCGGTAATGAACCAGGTGAAATGTGAATTTTCAGTAAGGCCCCAGACACCGAACTCCGCGGTGCTCCTGGGTGCTCTTGGGCATTGCCGGGGTGCCCCGCGTGACTTTCCTGGAGGCCTCAAAAACACGGGTGGGGGTCCACACTCAATATCCACATCAGGCCATCCTGCAGCCGTTTCTGGGGCCTATTGCGTTGTCTTGTGCTGACCTCGGAGATCACCATTGCACAACTGTTACCTGTTCAACGACTTTAGCATTACGTATTTTTCGGTCGCCACAATTTCCAGAAGACGGCCAAAGACGATCCGAAGGCCCCAAGACGGTCCCCGAAGAGAGGTCGGAAGCCAGCCGCGGTGTCAACACGAAACGCGTCATGTGGACTGGAACTGATATTGCTTGCGTCGCCCCCCATATCTTAGGCATTACCGATCGTGAACATGAGCGACGCGCGCGCGGGCGCTTCCTGGCGAACCTTTTCTCTCGGTTCGCGCCCACCCCTCGTGCGCAAACGGTGGGCTGCATGGGTGGACAAGCGTGTTCCAATACTTACAAGGTAACTGCTCGCAAATGGCGTGGACCCGCCGCAGGGGACTTCCGATCCACTACATAGACGAGGACATGTGTCTTGTGTTCGGCAGTTTGCGAGTGGGTACTTTGCGAGCAGTGGAACGCGCTCGGTGCATGGGGCCAGCCGGTCCGTCCAGCGGTCTCCAGCGGCCTGACTGGTGAGGCAACGGGCACCCCTGCCTGAAGCAGAGGGGCAGGCGACCGACCATCGCCGACGCGCAAGACTGGCCCTGGGCAAAACTGCCCTTCTCGGTGCGCGTCTCCGCGCGGCCGTGGGGGGGCCAAACCCAGGCGCGCAGGCCGGCGCTGCGGGGGAGCCCCGTGGGCCCCGCCCCGGAGGCTGCACCCGCGAGGGGCCACTCTCAACGCGTCGCCAGTGCCAAGAGAGCCGGACGCGCGCACGGCCGGCGCACCCGCCCTCACGAGGGAGTGGCGCCGGATCGACACGCGGCCGCGGGGGCAGCCGGGGCCTGGGCCCACCGCGCAAGGTGCTCCTGGCTTCCTGGCCAGGCCTGGGCGGCCGTGTCCCCTGGAGCTGTCCCCGAGCTTGGCCTGACCAGGATCTCGGGGCGGGCCTGGGCCCGGCGTCGCGGTGCCCCAGGAGGCCCGGGAAGGGCGACACGCCCCGCATACCGCCCTCCACTCCTCCATCTTCCTCCCCTCCTGCTCCTCGTTCTCCTCTTCGGAGTACTGCTGACATTGGCCCGCAGTCGCTCTGGGTCCGAATCCGAATCCTGCTCCTCGTCCCGCTCTCCGGTAGTTTGTACTGCTTCGCATCCGCTCTGGATCCGAATCCGAACCCTGCACCTCGTCGCCCTCCTGGCCCCTGCCTGCTTGTGGCAGCCCCCCTCCCCTAGCGGGCAGTGAAGGGCCCACCCGGCCCGCGCGCCAGAGAACTGCTGGCGGCGGGGGCCCAGCTCTCGGGCTCCGCCTCGGGTTGCGCCCGCGGCGACCCGAACCACTGAAGGGCTGCTCGCTCTTTGCCGAGCGCCGTCCAGAAAAGGGCCAGCGTGGACATCGGAGGGCCGCTTTCAGATCAATGCCTAAGGAGGCCGAGGAGGGAGGGATGGAGGGGGCGAGAGAGAAGCGACACCCCACCGCGGGGGGGAGGGCACACCAGCGGCAGCGGCAGCGAGGAGAATGACGAGGTCCTAAGACCTCACGCTGCAGCAGGCCAAGAAGGAAAGTCAGCCTGGCGAAGGACACAACCATATGCAGTTGTGGGTGCCGCAGCTGTGAGTATCGACTTCGGTGGCGCTCCTTGTGGGACCACGAATATTATGACTGGGGTGGCGAAATACTAGGGCGGGGGCGATGGCGGCGGCAACGGCGGCGACAGCGAGCCTAGGTCGCCAAACGTGTGAGAAGTGTGCCGAAATGAGCGGCGGGGACGCATGCAAACTGCGCCACTGGATCTGAGGTGTAGCTCCCTTGGGTCACGAATCTTGTCAGGGGCGTGCCGGCATAGGTGGAAAGGACGCATGCGAACTGCGCCACTGAGATCTTTTGTGGAGCTCCCCATGGGGCCACGAAGTGTGTGAGGGGTGTGCCGAAAAGGGTGGCGGGACGCGTGCGAACTGTGCCACGGGGACCTTCGGTGGAGCTCCTTACGGGGCCACGAAACGTGTAAGGGGTGTGCCCAAGTGGGTCGCGCGGACACAGTCCTTCTGCGCCGCTGATGATGATGATGATGATGATGAGGAGGAGGAGGATGAGGATGACGACGATGATGATGATGATGATGATGATGATGATGATGATGATGATGATGATGATGATGATGATGCCGACGATGATGATGATGATGATGAGAATGGTGATGCTGCTGCTGATGATGGTGATACTGACGCTGCTGACGACGAGTGTGAGCATGCTGATTATGACGATGAGGATGACGTCGATGATGAAACTGATTATTCTGCTGATGGTGACGACGATGCTGATGGTGATGACGATGCTGATGGTGATGATGATGACGATGATGATGATGATGCTGATAACGATGATGATGATGATGATGATGATGATGATGATGATGATGATGATGATGATGATGATGATGATGATGAGTATGATTATGATGGTGATGGTGATGGTGATGATGATGATGATGATGATGATGATGATGATGATGATGATGATGGTGATGATGATAACGACGATGGCCACGACGAGGGCGGAGGCAAAGAGGGGGAGGGGGAGGAAGAAGAGGAGAAGGAGGAGGAGTAGGAGGAGGAGGTGGAGGAGGAGGAGGAGGAGAAAGAGGAGGGGAAGGAGAAGGAGGAAGGATACGCGGGGCGCTGTCTCTTCAAAACGAGGACCCAACACCACAGGATGGTTGGGAAGAAATATATGGATCCAGAAGGAGAGGGAGCGAGAGAGAGACGCACAGAGAAAGCGAGAGACAGAGAGGACCAGACAGACAGACAGACGGACAGGCAAACCGACAGGCAGGCAGACCGACAGACGGACAGAGAGACAGAGAGACAAACAAACAGACAGGCAGACAGCCAGGAGGACAGACAAGCATAAAGACAGGCAGACAGCAAAGGAACGAGAGAGAGAAAGAGAGAGAAAGAGAGAAAGAGAGAGAGAGAGGGCAGGATAGCGATAATCAGAAAGCCAGAGAGAGAGAGAGAGAGAGAGAGAGAGAGAGAGAGAGAGAGAAAGAGAAAGAGAGAAAGGGAGAGAACCAAAAACCATTAGCCAAGCGAAAACCCCAAGCATATGCAGATATGGGTACGGCAGTTGTATGCACCGCATTCGGTGGAGTTCCGTTTAACGCCACGAAACGGGTGAGGGTGTTCCAAAATGGGCGTGGTGGGCGCACGCGAGCGCTGGCATATGGACCTTCGGTGGGGCTCCCCATGGGGCCACGAAACGTGTGAGTGGTGTGTGTGCAAAACCGATGCGGTGAGCGCATGCGAGCGCTGGCATTTGGGCATTATGTGCCCCCCCCGATGGGGCTACGCGATCGTGTGAGGGGAGTGCCCAAATGGGTGCGGTGGACGCATGCGAGCGCTGGCATGTGGGCCTTCGGTGGGACTCTGTATACGGTCACGATCCATGCGAGGGGCGTGCCAACATGTGTACGGTAGGCGCATGCGAGTGCTGACAGTTGGGCCTTCGGTGGAGCAACATATGAGGCCATGAAGCGTGTGAGGCGCGTGCCAAAATGGGCGCGGTGAGCGCATGCGAGCGCTGGCATTTAAGCCTTCGGTGGGCCCCGCTATGGGGCCACGAAGCGTGTGAGAGGTGTATCAATATGGGCGCGGTGGGCGCATGCGAGCGCTGACAGCTGGGCCTTCGGTGGAGCTCCCTATGGGGCCACGAAGCGTGGGAAGCGCGTGCCAAACTGGGCGCGGTGGGCGCATGCGAGCGCTGGCATTTGAGCCTTCAGTGGGCCCCCGATGGGACCACGATGCGTGAGAGGGGCGTGCCGACATGGTTGATTGGTGGGGAGGACAGAGGCAGGGAGCGGAGGAGGAAGGAGGAGGGAGGAGGAGGAGCGAACGAACCCTGGAGGGGGCAAGTCAGACGTCTAGCGGCATTCACCTGCGCTGGCAGCGCGAGGTGGCACGCGGAACGGCGCAGGCGGCGCGTTCACTACGTATTTACGTTTCGAGGCGGGGAAGAGGTGCGGTCGGGCGGCAAGAAGAGAGGCGCACGTGAGGACGAGCGGGGCGGCGGACGGTCGGGAGGAAAGAAAGGCTGAACAGCAGCAGGCGGCGGGCTCGCGCTCCAGCCTCCATGTGGCGAAGCGCCGAGACGGAAGGCCTGGCGGGCGGCGGCGCGCGCTTCACTCAGATGCTTGTGCGTCGAGGCCTCGAACGCGTTTACGTCGTCGCAGGAGGCCTGGCAATCCTTAGAGTGGTACATGCGGTACGCGACGGCCAAGCGGACCATCGCGTGGGAGACGTGGTTCTCGTCGTTCGGGTCGACATTGTGGCAGCTGTCGCGCGTCCCGAGGAGGGCCAAGATGCAGTTCGAGAGGCGGCCCCTGGGGTATGCCAACGCATGCCACTGTCAAGGGCGAATGAGGTAGTGCGAGATGCTGTCCTTTGCGTGGTTCACGTTGACCCGCGTATGCAAGGGCGCCGATCAGGTTGAACGTGGAGACGGCATGAAGTAGACCAGGCGCCGGCCAGGGTCTTCATCGTGGGCCAGAAGCGCGATGGGGGCATGCGGGCCATCTCTGCTCGCGCGCGCCGCCAGTGGATCTTGACGCTGTTCGGAAGCTGGTGCAAAACGGTCGGGTCGTTGAACGAGATGGCGTCTGGATGCAGGTGCTCGTTGATCTCCTCGATGTAGGCGGTGTCGGACGGGTCGGAGACAGAGTCGGCCATGTGTATCCATTGGCGACGGAGACGGTGTTCTTCAGCTGCAAGGTTGAACGCTGCCTGCGTGTCGTGCGTGCGCGGAGTCCTCTTCATGTAGGCCGCCCTGCCGTAGCGGTTGGCGTCTGAGTCGCACCATGCCTGTCGGCGCATATTGCGAGCGCGTCGACGGAGGTCCTCTTCCGAGGCAGCGGTGCAAAGGATGCGCAAGCTCCATCGGCGAAGCTGACGGAGCACATCTTGTTCGCACCAGTCCATTCAGTCGATGTCTCGGCGCAGCGTGTGGTCCTAGTTGTCGATGTACAGGTCGGGAAGCCAG